TATAAGAAGCTAAGATGTTGGTAGGGGAGAAGCTAATCTTTTAAGGGCCGCCCATCAGCCTGCAGGCATTTGAAGGGACAGAGTCTGATGGTTTGAAATGTGGGGATGGTAAGTCCAGGCTGGTGGGGCTTCTTAAGAAAGGCCTGCATGGGGCCTCCCTGGTGGTGCAAGGGGTTAAGTCTCAGCACAATGAAGCTAGGGGCAGCCACTGCAGCAGGAGTTCGATCCCTGGCCAGTGAGCAGCAGACCTCTCCTGCCTCCCCGCTGCTCCCCTCAGCAGTGGATTTCAGTTGATCGGCCTGTTCTGCTCCCCACTCTGTCTCTGGTGAATCCTCTCATTCCACGTCCCCTCTCCCTCCTCCCCCCCTACACCCCAGCTCTTGTGTGCATACATAAACAAATTAAATCTTTAAAAAAAAAAAAAAAAAAAAAAAAAGGCCTGCATGGACCTAGGGCCTCCTCCCCCTGCTACCCCCTTCCCAGTTCCTTGGGGCCTGGTCTCACACCCCAGGCTAGGAAGGGCCCTTTGTCCCCTAGTAGCCCGGAGGGCACCTTCCTGGACCTGCCTAGCAGTGACCCCCAGAGGCCCTGGTTTCCTTGTCAGCCAAGCACCCAACTATATCCCTCAGCATTAAGGGTCAAATAAGAAACTATTTGAAGGGCTGAGAAAGCTGTTTCTCCAAAGCGTGGTAAGACGAGTCACTGGCATTCACTCAGCTGGAGACGAAGGCCTGGGGGTGCTTGGAGTCCAGGCACGGCCAGGACTCAGCGGCTCCCTGTCATTTGTGCCCGTCTGCAGCCGTCCCTGGCAAAGGGAGTGGATGTCCGCCCTTCCGTCCCACTGAGTCGAGGGGTCCTTGTCCCAACTCATCAAATGATCAATTCCAATTCCTGCCTTCCCTGTCCCCAAGGAAAGCTGGGGACCTGCTTGGACGCCCCAGGTTAGTGCTGATCCTCAGGAAAGGACTTGGCCACGCCCTTCACGCGCCCCTCTGTCTAGTGGGGTGACTAATGGCCGCTTCCGGTGTGATGAAGGAGTGAGGCCACTTAGCACGCGCCGGCCCTTGGTAAGCTGAGTGCACAGTCAGCGCAGAGGCTCTTGTTACCGCCTCCCAGGACGGTGGGCAGGATGAAAGCTGGCGTGTGAGACGACCGCCAAGGGCTGGAAGCTGCTGGGCTTGGTTGTCAGGCCCAGGGAGCCTGTCAGGCCCGGGGAGCCGAGCGCGGGTGTGTCGGGGGAGCAGAGAGAAAACCCTAAGGGGAGAAGAGCCGGGCGGTCTGCTGCCTGCCCTGCGCATGCAGGCCTCCGGAGGAGGTGGACAGGCCTCTCAGGCCACTTTGAAGAGGGAAGGATGCGCTCCTGGATTGTAAATCCCAGCTCCCGCGGAGGGGCGGGGTCGCCACCAATGGAGTCACTTTATAAACCTACCTACGACTTAATGCTCGGCCCCTCCCTTCCCCGCCCTGCCTGGCCTGGAGAGGCTCCTCCAGGTCTACACACTGGCTTTCCTCCTGCCCAAGCGGGTGGCTCCTGGTGGGACACGAGTGGCCTCTTCTGTGGTCGCATCTTCCCCCTTTTCTCGGTCTGGGGCGACAGGTTTCTGCATCTGGGCCGTGCTCAGCTAAGTGGTGGAAAACAGGTTTTCCTGCCCATTCAAGGAGTTTGGAATTCCTTGAGTCTGCTGCCCAACTTGACGGAGACCCTTTCTGACCTAGGCCTAGAGAATGTTCCAGAGCTGTGAGCCTGAGGGGAGGGTCATGACCAGCCCCCGCTGCGCAGTTCCAGGGTGCTGGGGAGGCTGCGCTGGCTCTGGGGTGGGCCAGGAAGCCCCCCTCCTTCCTGAGCTGTGTGAGGACAAGTTCCTGGTTGTTCCTTAACCCTTTCTTGTCTCCTCGTCCCTCTTCCACCTTGTCCGCTGTTCCCGGGGCCATCCTGTCTCTACACCTAAGCTTCCCAGTGACCCCGTCTTCCTTCCCTTCCCAGCCCTCACCCCCAGCTCTGCTTTCCCCCGAGGGACCCACATGATGGACCAGCCCTGGGGCCTCAGTCTCCTCTTGTCTGCAAACTTTGCTGGAAGGGGCACCATGTACTGGGGACACAGGGACCAAGGACACTGATTCACAATCTCAGCACAGAGGGGGCTGTGGGGGTCCGGATAGTGCCGCCCTGCAAAGTGTTTCCAAAAGCGTTTCCCTTGGAACACGAGGTGGCCAAGATGCGCCTTCACAGTGGAAAATCCCAAGTGCCGAGATGAGGCTGTGTGTGCTGTTTCCCGAGTAGGTTTCAGACACCTGACCATATGGAAGGCTCTGGAAAGTTCCACAGTAAAGAAAGCTGTTTACTGTGACTAGGGCTCCATGTAACAGAGAGCCTCCCTCCGGCCTGTTGGTCCGAGCTCTCCTTACTTCAGTCTCCTTCTAGTTGGCTGGTTTTGCCAGAAAGCTCTTCCTGTGTCTGTCATTTGGTGTCACACACACTGCCTAGAGGGGCCGACCTTTGGGGATGTTCCTGGGAAGTTTAAATGCACCATCAGAAGGCAACTCTGGTTTCCCTGGGCCTAATGTGCATGATTTCCTTCAAGGGGTGCCCCCCCATGGACCAGCCCCGTGTCCCCGCCCCCCGAGTGTGGGGTCAGGCTGGAGTGGAGCAGACTGTCCTGGGGTAATGGGACAAAAAGAAAAGAACACTGCTATGAGCATAGGGGTGCATGTATCTCTTCAAACTAGTGTTATTATTGTGTTCTTGAAACAAATACCCAGGGCCTCCCTGGTGGTGTAGGAATTGAGTCTCAGCACTATCTATCACCCATCCTTGTAGCCTGAGTTCGATTCCCTGCCAGGGAGCTGACCCACATGGCGCAGCAGACCTCTCCTGTCTCACCTGCTGCTCCCCTCAGCAGTGGATTTCAGTAGATCTGCCTGTTCTACTCCTTATTCTCTCTCTCTGGTGGACTTCCCTCTCTCTCACACACACCCACACCTCTGGCCTGCACCCCAGTTCCTTTATGCAAGAAAACAAAACAAAACAAAAATATCCAGCAGTGGGATAGTTGGGCCATATGGTATTTCTAGTCTTTTTTTTTTTTTTTTTTTAGGAATCGCTGTGCTGTTTCCATAGTGGCTGCAACAGTTTACATTAAGAGTGAATTTTATGACATGCAAATAACATCTCAGTAAAATTGTTATTTTGAAAGGAGGTTAAAAATCAAGGAAGTGAGGCCCACCCCTGAGTCATTTTTTAGTGAACTGGTGGCAATCTTCGCTTCCTTCTGTCAGGGCTCCAAACCAGCCCAAATGCAATGATAGCACTGGATCCCGGCCTGCCCCATCTGTGTTTCATAAACTCTCTGCTTCCTGGACACCCAGAAGTGGTTTGCTCTTTCCAGGCCCAGAGCACCTGTCTTGACCCTCCGGCTTCCTCAGAACTTACCAGCAGACACCCAGGTGCCGCGGCCTGTGGCATCTCATCCTGCAGTCCTGCCAAGCCAGGAGGCGGTCAGGGTTAGGAGGAAGGGAAGGGTGGAGAAGGGGGTGGCCTCTGATGAGGCCCAGAGGGGGCAGACAATGGGTGCTGTTGGAGGCCAGAGGAGGAAGGGTTGGCTCCCTGCCCGGGCTACAGAAATGCTGCTGAGGAGGGTGGAGGTGGTGGTAGGGAGCAATGGCATGAGATGGTCACAGTGGCTGGAATGGCACGTTGGGGAGTCCTGGGCCTCCTTGCCAGCCCAACCACGAGCCTTAAATACCACTAGCCTACAATGTTGGATTCCTAGTTGCCCACAGGCTGCATTTCTTGGTGGATGCTGGTGTGGTCTCAACACTGGGGGGCTTTGTTGTTGGAGCCGGGGTGGGGGTGGAGGGTGGGAGCAGGCAATAGTGAAGAAGCCTGATTTGTTTAGTGTGCAAAATTATGCATAAAACTGCCTGCCTTAGCCATCTAAGTGTACAATGGAGGGCTCAATGACATGCCGGTATGACCATCACCAACTGTCTCTAGAAATTTCTCTTCATTCCAAAGGGAGGCTTAATCCATTGATCAATAACTCCCCATTTCCATGTTCCCCGCCCTGGTAAGCGCTATTCTGGTTGTGCCTCTCCCTGCCCAGGTGCCTCCTGCGAGTCCTACATCTGGCTCATTTCACCCTAGTATATGGCTCGTAAGGGTCACCACCCTGCGGCGTCTGTGGCATCACTTTCCTTCTATCATGACTAATATTCTACGGTCTGACTTCCCCGTCCTACAGCGAGACAGCATCTTGCTTATCCACTCATGTGCGCGAGGACACTTGGCTGTTTCCACCACTTGGCTGCTGTGAGCTGATTTGTTTTAGTGCCTGAGCAACATGAGGTCTCGCCTAAGTGTGTAGTGAAGGGGGAGAAGGTGGTAGAAAGCAGAGGACAGAAGACCCCGAGGTGCTGACCCTGGTACTAGGGAGTAGAGAGCTGGCCTGGATCCCGGGTAGGTTCCCAGGCAGGGGGTGGGGCCGGAGGTGCTGGCTCTGTGGCCAATTCAGCAGAGAGGGCAGAACTGGGGCCTCTCTCAGTGTCACTCACACAAATGTGCCCATTCAGACCTGGACACTGAGGAGGGCCCGGAGGACAAAGCACCTGACCAGAGGGCCTGGACCTGCCTGTCTCCCACTTCTTGTGAAATTAGGGGGTTCTTGGGGCTCGTTCCCCCATTGTCCAGCATCAAGACAGTCGGTCTATGTCTGTTGACTGAAACTGGGGGAAATCAAGGCCCACCCTTGATTTCAGAAGTGTCGTCCTCAAGAAACTTCCGATCTAGTTAAAGGCACAAAGGACAGGAAAACAAACAGTACAAAATCCACTCTCTGAATTGTGTCCTAAGACACAATGTTCAAGAAGAGAGGAGTCCCTTCTGTTGGGGTGGCTGAAGGGGGCACTGCAAAGCAGGGAGCATTTCAAGTCATTTTTCAATAAAGGCAGCCAAGGGAATTACACATTTGAGGGTCACAAGTGACCTCTGTCCTGTCCTGCAGGTATGACGCCGGACGAGATGGCTTCATTGACCTGATGGAGCTGAAGCTGATGATGGAGAAGCTGGGGGCCCCCCAGACCCACCTGGGCCTGAAGAGCATGATCAAGGAGGTGGACGAAGACTTCGATGGCAAACTCAGCTTCCGTGAGGTACTTGCACCCTGCGGTCCTGAGCCCCTCGGGGAGTCCCCAGGACCCTCACATCACAGTGCATGTTGCTTTGGCCTCCTAGAGGCTGCTTGGTTATTTAACCTTTAGTCTGATTTTAAAACCAGCTTTCGGGCATGAGTGAACCTCGGTGCAGGCCAAGAAAATGCTCAGTGACAATCAGGGGGCAGAATGACTGTGTTTGGGTAAAATTGTAGGAAATCTGGAGGGAAGTTCATCAGCATGGTCTCTGTGGGTATTTATGGGAGCAAAGTTTTAGTGGTTTCATAATTTTAAACTCCTTTGCATATTAAGTTTAATGTTAAGTTAAACTTAAGAATTAAGTTTAAACATAGAATTAAGTTTCTATGATAAACAAAAATTGGGAGAAAAGGCAACTGAATAAAGGTCTTAACCTTAGCCTCTGGACCCCCACCTCTCAACAATCCAAGAGGAGACTTTTTGGCCTTTGAACCACTGGAATTGCAGGGAAAATTTTGTAGGCATAGGTGTCTTTCGGGAACATACAAGTAGGTTTGGAGGGGCCTCCCTGGTGGCGCAAGGGGTTAAGTTGCAGCACTGTGAAGCTATCTGCAGAACGAGTTTGATCCCTGGCCAGGGAGCCACCCACATGGCGCAGCAGACCTCTCCTGTCTCCCTGCTGCTCCCCTCAGCAGTGGATTTCAGTAGACCCACCTGTTCTGCTCCCCACTCTGTCTCTGGTGAATCCTCTCATGCTTCTGTACCTCTGGTCTACACCCAGCTCTTGATGCATAGATAAATAAATCTTAAAAAAAAAAAAAAGGAGGTTTGGAGCTTGTCCTCCCACCCCAACCCCCACCACCATGGTTGAGAACCTTGGTGAGAAAGCCAATCACTATATGGGGTGGGGGGGGGAGTCTCAAAGCCGCAGGGTTTCTTCCATGGCAAGGATGCTGCCCCCCAAGGAAGAGAACTCCACGTTTTATGTTTGGTTTGGTTGGAAAGGTCTCGATGTTGGTGTCACCTGGTGGTGGGAAACTCCGGGGTGATAACATCTGGGCTGAAGCCTCGAGCATTCGCCCAGCTGGTCTCCTTCTCCAGCCTGATTCAGCTGAGTCCCTGGGCTGGGCACAGAGGCCTGTCCTTGCTTCCTGGCATTTAACCTTGGCCATTGCAGGGACAGTGTCGCCTGGCATCCTGGTTGTGATGGTGACACCTTTGGCCAAGGACTGCTCCTCTGTCCAGGAGAGACAGGGCCTTTGAAAGTCCCTCCCAGGGGTCTTCGCAGCTGTGACTCCCCCGCCCCCCCCAGCTGTGGGGAAACTGGCTTTGCCTCCAGTAGCCACAAATCATCTCTGGAATCTCGCAAGTCTCTTCTGTTCCAGAATGGCAGATGTGCAGAGAGCAGAGTAAGGAAAACCCGTGTCGGGCTTCCCCCTCAGGATAGGCCAGGCCCGTCTTCTCATTCAGAGCTCAGGAGCCAGAGTTACCTAGAAAGCAGCACTGGCCTGAAGTCCTGTCCACGCTCAGGACGGGACCTGGGCTGTAGCCTCTGCCCTCTCCCCTAGCCCGGCCTTCCTAGCTGCCTGCCACCACCGCCTCTTGTTTGGCTCCTGTGTCACTGACCACCGGGCACAGGCTCTTTCCTGACCAGCTCTCCTGGGGCACAAAGCACAAGCTTTGCCTTGGTGACACCTGCAGTAATGCTGCAGCAAACGTGTGACCTTGGGAAAAGAAATCCAGGGGGTTTAGAGATGTTGCAAGTCACCCACCAGCCCCCCCACCCCATTTTGCCCAGGAGTCACCCCGGTGTGCTCCGCCCTGTATCCAAGACACTTGGTGAGCTTTCAGCGAGTGGCTGGTGTGGCCAGCAGGCCCAGGGGTGGAACTGGAGGCCGGGACATCTCCTCTGGCAGGTCGGAGCCCCGTCATGGCCCCCTGTCCAGTGGTCTGTCTGGAAGTACAGGATCTGGAAGTGTGGGTATGTGTGCCATGGGCTCCAGAGACTGACCAGCTGCTGGCGGCCCCTCTCACCCAGTCTCCACCGTGTTGGGGGCCCATGGAGCCAAGCCTGTGCTCATGAGTCTGAAGGAGGCTGGGCCCAGGCCTCCACCCTCCACCCTCCTCAGCTGAGCCGCAAGCGGTTTCCAGCTGTCCTTCTGTCTTTACCTGTCATTTATTTTAATGTTTTATTTATTGGTTTTTTATTGCATTTTTTAATTGAGGTAACACTGGTTTGTAAGATGGTCTAGAAGTCAGAGATACAGGTTCACACCCTTCATCTTTACCACCCCGAGCTTTTCTGTCTTCAAAAGTTGACAACATGTAATGGTTTCCTGCTGTCCCTGCCTCCAAATTACTTATTTTGTATTTTTGAACAAAAAGACAGTTGTATATTCCTGATGACTGAACCCAAGAACTCCCTACCAAGGTACTGCTTCCCCTTAAATTGCTGAGACATTTTTAATGTTCTTCTGTTAAAAGCAGGATCTTAGTGCTTATCAGCCATCCCCAGGGGAGTTAGGAAGCAGCTTTTCTGTGCTGAGTAAGAATAAGGATGCACTAAACAGAGGACTAACCGATGATCTGACAGCCTTTGTGTCATAAAATTTTGTTTAAAGTTAAAAAGCAAGGGGCCCCCAGCGGCCCCTTGGGGTTAGAGTCTCAGGGCTATCAAACTATCGCCAGCCACTGTGACACGCGTTTGATCCCCGGCCAGGGAGCTACCCACATGGTACAGCAGACCCCTCCTGACTTCCTGCTGCTCCCTCAGCAGTGGATTTCAGTACATCTGCCTGTTCTGCTCCCTACTCTGTCTCAGGTGAATTCTCTCACCCCGCACTTCTGGCCTATTCCCCAGTTCTTGTATGCATAAATAAATAAAAATAAATCTTTTTTAAAAATAAAGTTAAGGGCCTCCCCTGGTGGTGCAGTGGTTGAGCGCTGGGCTGCAAGGCTGCCCGCAGCCTCTGCAGCGCCAGTTTGTTCCCCCGCCGCCGGCAAGGGTCCAACAAAATAAATAAATAAATAAATAAAAATAAAAGTTAAAAATCAATAGGGATGTTAACAGTTTCCTGCTGAATGCTGTGAAATGATGCTCTTTCTATGTCTGCATCAGAACTCTTGGATGCAAGACTGCCAGCAAGCTTAATAGGAAAGACAACTGGCTCATACACCCGGGAGGTGAAGACAGAGGAAGTGCTCCAGGCACAAATAACCTGGGGTCTTTTCTCTGGCCGGGTCTTGACTGCTTTCTTCTGTGTCCACTTCATCTGGCTTCCCACATCCAGGCGGCTGCTGAGATGCTCCCCACAACTCCTGGTAACATTGCAGGTTGAGCCAGAAACAAAGGGTTTCTGGTTTTTTTTTGGGGGGGGGGTTTGCATAGAAGAACTGCAATGTAGGCCAGAGGTGTGGAGGGGTGAGAGGATTCACCAGAGACAGAGTGGGGAGCAGAACAGGCAAATCTACTGAAATCCACTGCTGAGGGGAGCAGCAGTCGAGACAGGAATTGTCTACTGTGCCATGTGGGTCAGTTTTCCCTAGCCAGGGATCGAACTCAGCCCTTAGCAGTGATAGCGCTGAGACTTAACCCCAGGCCACCAGGGAGACCCCAAAGGGTTTCTTTATTCCAGAGTCCACACCAGTCCTGGGAGAAGGCCTCTGATCTGCCCTCGTGGGGATACACGCCCACTTCCTAGACCAATCCTTGCATCAGGATACTGTGACTGGGTAGGAGCAGGTCACATGCTCAGGGTCCCTTGGACAGCAGCAGCCCCACCCTCATCACTGGGACTGGGTTGCCAGGGAGATGAAAGTGCTCCCTTCTGTACTTCCTTCCCCACAACCCGGCACTTAGTAGGTGCCTGGTGATTGTTTCTCTTCCCTTTTCCCCCCTTTGGATTAATTCCATCCAAGCAAGTCACAGCAAATAAATATTTTTTGATGTGTGGGGCATGTCACTACACTATCAAGCACTATTTTGCTCTTTCTCCCCAATGGGCAAAGGAATGGATCTTTCTTGAAAAACACTTCTAATTAGGAAAATAACACATATACTGGGGGCATTTTAGAAATTGGCCTACTTGGAACCAATATAAATGAAATTGTAACACAGCATTTCACGACCAGAGAACAGTGCTGATGGTGTAAAAAGTAGGGACAAAAGCAGGTCACCAAAGAGCGTTTATGGCTTCTGCGTGTTTGTGTTCGTGACGTTGCGAGGGTGGACCAGATGGCAGTAGTCCTGTCTCCAGGCTCCAGTGCTGGAGACTCAGGCCCCAGGTGCCTCACCTCATCCCCTTTGGAGCAGACAGCAGAACCTTAATGTTGTCTCCTCCTTTTCTTGTAGTCCTCACTAATTCATTACTTCTGCCTCAAAGCAGACATGCGGGCCAGACCTGCGGTGGCTTTTATAAAGGTTGGACATCAGTCAGTGCTGGGAACTGTGGGTCCCTCTGTCTCTTCCACAGCACCCTCCCAGCGGGGATCCCTGCACACCCTGGGTTGCCCACCTGCCTGGTCAGGGGTGACTGGATCGTGGATGGACCCTGGCCAGACTAAGTCAGTAGGATTCTGTAGCCCGAGAATTTGCAATTGGGCTAAAGTCCTGCGAATTGGCCCTGCAGGTGGCTTCTGGGAGTGTAACACAGTGTGGGGTGGCCAGTGCCCACCCTGTAGCCCAGACACAGGCACTGGCGACTCTGGCCTCCACCAGACAGTGTTCTCTCTCCCAGCCCCAGGCCTCTTCTAGGCTGCTGCATTTTGCCTGGAAGGCCGGTGGTGGTGGTGGGGGGGGGGAGTTTGAGACTTCCTTGTAATAGAACGAAGACCTTCTTTTGGCTTAGCCCAACATACAGCGCTGTTTCTGCCACTTGCACTGGATCCAGACCTCTGACTCAGGGCCGGCGCTTCCCCTCCGCTCAGAGGCACCGAATGAAGTTCCCCACATTTCTCCGAGCACTGGGTAGCTTGTCTCTGCAACTGCCTCTGAGCTCCATGGGTGCTCGCTCTGTGTCTTTGTTTTCTGCTCCCCCACCCTTTGTTCATAGTCACAACTAGGACACTTTCCAATTCTCCACAACATACCAGTCTTTGTGGACTATAAATAGGAAGACAAACAAGGCCGGGCAGTTAGAGAAATTGTCATTCAGAGCTTGGTGATTGTAATAAAATTTGGTGGGAATGTCTGGCATGCTGTGTGGAAGGCTGGACATTTTCAGGTTGAGCTGGATTGTTTTTTTTTTTTTTCATTTTTTAAAAAAAGATTTATTTATTTATGCATACAAGAACTGGGGTACAGGCCGAGATGTGGGGGGGTAAGAGGATTCACTGAGACAGAGTGGGGAGCAGAACAGCCAGATTGACAGAAATCCACTGCTGAGGGGAGCAGCAGGGAGACAGGAGAGGTCTGCTGCACCATGTGGGTAGCTCCCTGGCCGGGGATGGAACTCGTGCTTCAGTGGCTGCGGGTAACTTCACAGTGCTGAGCTTAACCCCTTGAACCACCAGGGAGGCCCTGTTTTCCTTTTTAACTGGCCAGGGTTGGGGATCCCTGCAGGGGTGACAGGGCCGCTGTGGGTCACCTGCAGAGCTGGCTGAATGAGTGTGAAAACTCACTGGCCAGGATCTGCTTGGGGGAAAGACCCCCCTGTAACCTCAGGCATGGTCACCCACCCCAGGTCATTTGGTCATCATTCAACTGGGGACAGCACCCCATCTCCCCCAAGGAGGGGCCCCCTATTCTGTGTTGGCCTTATGGAGCGGTGGGGGTGAGGGTGAGGGGCTCCTGTAAACTGTTCCAAGGACCGGTTTGGTCCTGATGACTGGGATTTCCCGCCTCTCCAATTATGGCTCATATTTGGAGATCTGAGTCTTTGCTTCTTCAGTCTCTTCCCAGAGACCCCCACCACGACGGGCCCTCCACCCCTTGGCCTTGACCCTGTTCCTGGCGCCTCACCTCCTTCCAGTCACTCCTTACCCAAGACTTCTTTGGAGCCTGTGTTCTGGCTCCACTCTCTGCAGCAAACTTGGTCTTTGCCGGCCTCTAGTGAGAGACTCTGAGGCTGCAGGCGGGTCCACGTGGCTTCCCAGCCCAGCCCCGCTGACCACAGGGGCCTCTGCACGGTCACTAGTCCTGCGGTGTGTGGCGCACCCCTTGCTTCCTGTTGGGCAGCACCCACAGTGGAGTTAGGACCCCGAAGCAAGAATGACAAAGAAACCTTTATTAGCGAGGCTTTGTGGGGGGGGGGGGGCGGTGGAGCTGGAGACCGATTGGAAGGAAACTCATTTCCTGTCAGAAGTGAAGAGTTTGGCTGATAAAGTCTCCCGGGTTGGAATTTGGAAATTCTGTTGGAAAATGTGGAAGTTTTTCCAAATTGAAAATTGGGAAAGTTGGTATTGGGAGCCCTCTGGGGAAAAAACAGTGACGTCGTTTTCCAGCTCCCTCAAGGCAAGGTTCTGCGCCCCGGGGCAGCCAGCTGGCAGAGGAGAGGGTCCGAGGTACTCCCTGACCGCCGGGGCCTCCTGGAACCTTCGGGAAGACTCTTCCTGCGTTGACCTGGGGGTGTCCCTGCAGATTCTTGCCAAGTACAAAGATAATTTATTTGTCAGCCAACTTCTATCACTGAACAAATATACTTTAAAGAAGAGAAGTAAAAGATCATGAATTGCCTTAAGGGAGAGAGGCAGGGAGATGGGGAACTTGCCTTTTCAAGTACTTACTTCTTCATTCAAAATGTTATTTTTATTTAAAAACATTTAAATAATGAAGATAAATAAATAAAATATTATTCCACGGTAGCCTTAGTCCAGGCTGGAGGAAGATGGATTATACAATAAACAAAGTGGGAATTACTAACTAACCATTTGACAGAAAATAAGGTTAATGATCAACTTCACATGATAGATCAGAATAAATTTCAGAGATTAAATATTTACATGTGAAAAAAAGGAGTCAGAAGAGCAGGAGACAAAAACATGGTGATTGTTTCTGTAACCTTGGCGGGGAGGAAGTTTTCTAAGCATAAGACAAAAAAAAAATCGATTTTTGAAGTCAAATATCACCAGAAATAAAATTAAAAGGCAGGTGGCTGTGCTAAAGTATTTGAAGTAACCAGGTTCGATAGAGATCTCTTAGAAAATACTGAGAAAGAGATACATGGAAAATAAGGAAGATCTCAAAAATATGAGAAATCTAAAATCAGTTCATTTAAAAAAACCAGTAATACAGATCTGTTAGATTATTTTTATTCATGGCTTTAAAAAACAGGATGTTGTCAATTTTCAGCTTTTATAGGTAACGCTTCTTGAACTATCATGTAAACGTTTCCAAGGGGTACAAGTGGCATTAATGGTCCGAGGGAGGGAAATTTGCTTTTGGTCAACATTTCACCAAGTCCCCTTCCAAAAGTTTGATTGATTGACACTCCCAACCCCTGGAGTGAGGGCGCCCAGTTCCCTGCATCCTGTGAAGAGTGGCATGTTTTCATTGCTGAGTGTGAAAGGGAACCGATTTGTCCCCCCACCCACATACACACCCCATTTTAGGGGTTTGGCAAGAGGGGACTGCTGCTCACCCCCGTGACCCTGGCCCTGATGCTAGCCCACCCTTCTCTGCAGTTCCTGCTCATATTCCACAAGGCTGCCGCGGGGGAGCTGCAGGAGGACAGTGGTCTGATGGCGCTGGCAAAGCTGTCCGAGATCAATGTTGCCCTGGAGGGCGTCAAGGGTGCCAAGGACTTCTTTGAAGCCAAGGTAGGTGCCCCCCTGTGATGGGAGCTTTCCTCTGCCCACCTGTGATGGAAGCTCCCAGTCAGGGGCTATGGAGGGAACTCCCCTAGGACAGCAGAACAGCAATAGCTCAAGAGACACACGTCGTGCACAATACCTAGGAGTGAGGGTGTATGTGTGAGCGATCTGAAAATGAAAAACAAAACGGAAAATGACAAATGGTAAATGCAATTGGGCTGGTTTCAGATTCAGCAGATTTACTGGTATGATGCTCTCAGATCAACTCTCTTTCCTCCCCAAGCTACTGTTCAGTTGCTTGAATAGTTAATTACCTCCATGTTTGCATCTCAATACCCGTATGTAAACAAGGGGATAACGGGGCAGGGAGGAATCTGGTATTTGCTCCATTCACAGGGTTGGGAGTTGGGAGCAACCTCCACAGTCCCAGCATCCTTCTGGGTGCTTCCATTCCTTGTTCTTCCAGTCACTAAACATGTATCTGGTGTGTGCCAGTGCCCAGCCCTGGCTGGACACTGCCCTTTTCATCTGCTGAAAGAGATCAAGAAAGTTCTCCAGATCCCAGAGATGTGCGGCTCAGGGGGCCAGGCTGCCTGGGTTTATCTTGCCTATTTCACTCACCCCGTTTACTGTCTCTGCCTCAGTTTCCTCATCTGTATGATGGGGACGATTGTCGGATTGCTGTGAAGGTTAGAGGAGTTCCTGTGGCCGAGTGCTTTGCAATGCCTGGCTCACAGATACGGGCTGTCGGGCTCCCTGCCGCTGCGCCAGGAGCTGGCCTCGTGAGACTTGTTGGCTTATCCCAGAGGTTTGTTCAGAGACCAAATGTCCACGTTGTCACATCCCAGCCTGCTCAGGCCCCTAAGCAGGACTCTCGTCCACTTCTCTGTGGTGCGGCTTGGAGACACATCCCGCGCCCACTGTGAATTGCAGCGGCCCCCTTGTGCCTGATTCCTGAGGCGTCTGGCCTGATTCCTGAGGCGTCTGAGGGCTTCAGGGACAGGCCAGTTCACAAAATTTTATTATTGTTCTTTTCATCTTTTCTACTGAGGGCTTTTTCTGAGGGCTTCATGGCACCATTCACCCAAGCCCCAGGGCCCAATCCTGACATCGGTTGGGCCTTTCTCAAGGCAGAGCAATGCTTCCGCCCAACTGCAGCAGCGCCAGGCTCCTCACGAGACCTGGGGAAGCCGCTCCTTTGCAAGGGGGTGTCAGATACAACTTTGGCCTCCCCAGGGCACGCTCGCCTCCAGCGAGGAGAGCCAACTCAGCCTGGCAGAGAGGCGCGTCCTCGCGTTCATCCCATGAATCCACACTTGCAAATCTGCATGTCCTGGCAGGTGCCCAGACCTGAGCCCCCGCACAGTGAGCAGGACACTTCCTCCCCGTGCCCGAGCCGGGCTCTCGGACATCTGCGGGAAGGCCTCTCGAGACGGCTCAGCAGGCCCGTGCTCTGCCTCCCCTCCCACTGTGTGCATTTCTTCCAACAGTCTTGCCTCCTCAAACTAGCCCTCCTTGCCTGCTGTTTCTTCTCCAGCGACGCCCCTCTAAGGCGGCTTCCTAGAAAACTCTACTCATTCTTTAAGACCCCTTGAAAGTGTTGCCTCCTCTTGGCTCCTTCCCGAGTCTCCCAAGGGCCAAAGCCCATCCCTTTCTGAATGAAGCCTGTTATCACCGATCTGCCCCAGGCTCGCTGGCTCCGGCAATCTTGGTAAGGGGACCACTTGGCTCAGCTTTCTGGAAAGCAGCTGAGGCTGGCTGTCACCATTTCATATCCTTCTGCCGTGGAAGCTACGTCTAGGATTTTATCCCTGATGAAATACAGGCCAGCGTGCTAGACCTGCAGACGCAGCATTGTGGGTAGTAGAGAAAATCTGGAAACATCAAACCCCCATCTCCAGGAACGGAGTCCACACGGCCGCAGCTGTGGAAGCGGATGTGTGTGGACTGATGTCCAGACGGGCCCAGCAGGCAGCGTGTTTCAGGTCCCATTTTGTTGCATGTTAAATACTGCCGGGATAATTCCATGCCAACGTATTAGTACTAGGCAGGGGTGAGGGACTTTTTTTTTAAATATATTTTTGTAATGTTTTATAACATGCATGCGTTGTTTTTTTTTTTTATAACCAGTAGAAAAGATGAAAAGAACAACAATAAAATTTTGTGAACTGGCTGTGTTTATGGTCTGCCTCCTCACCCAGACTCAAAGGCAGAGTGGGTGTTTATCTTGGTAATTACATGCCTGCTGGATAATGGCCCTCCATAAACGTTTGCATGAATGACGAATGGAAGGCATCATCACTCAAATTTGGGAGAGGGCCATAAAGGAGCTGACATTTGTGACAGATGTTCAGAGATGAATGAGGAGTCACCTTGTAATCAAGGGAGGGAGGCACTCCCATCGTGGGAACGGCCGGAGGAAGCCTCGAGGCACAGAGGTTAAGGACGTCCACTGTCCTCACTGGACGCCATTGGGCAGAGTGCTCTGAGCTCCCCTGAGGTTAGGCCTTCTCCAGCCTGCTGACTCCTGCACCCCTTGTGGACCAGCCCCAGGCCCCACCCAGATGGAACCTGGGGTTTCTCGGGGTGGGGGGCCGGAAACGTGGAGCTGAGCCAGCTGTGCAGGTTTCCATCGCACAGCCCTCTTGGAACACACAGCTGGAGGCCTCACGCCCTTGGGGGTGTTGAGCAGGGCCTTGGGGTGGCCAGGGACAGACTTGCCTGGGAGAGGCTGAACTCAGACAGGCATCCTCAGATGTCTGGAGAATTGCAGGTTAAGCGAGGATAGAGCCCATGGGGCTGGGGAGCAAGTGGGATGAATCCGGAACTCTCGGTGCTTGAGACCACGTGATGGGGAGGTGGGGCGCAAAACCGGAGAAGGTGGCAGAGCTGTGTGGAGGGAGTTGACAGTCTTTTAAAAAATCAAGACAGGAATCCCCTCCCCCCAAGTGTGGGAATGGTTTGAAGAGAAAAGGTATAAACTGGGTTTTATTATTTTTTTTTCAGATTTATTTTTCTTTATGCATGCAAGAGCTGCGGTACAGGCCAGAGGTGGGGGGAGGGTGAGAGGATTCACCAGAGACAGAGTGGGGAGCAGAACAGGTGGATTTTACTGAAATCCACTGCTGAGGGAGCAGCAGGGAGACCGAAGAGGTCTGCTGCGCCATGTGGGTAAGCTCCCTGGCCGGGGATCGAACTCATGCTGCAGTGGCTGGTGATTGCTTGATAGCACTGAGAGTTAACCCCCTGCGCCACCAGGGAGGCCCATAAACTGGGTTTTAGTGTATAACTAGTACTACTACATCCCTCCACTTGAAAGGCAGTTTTGGGGCCATGTAGTTTCCACCCCCAGTTTCCACTCACGTCCTGTTGGACAGAACACACCGCCCCCAGCTGCACGGGAGGCTCCAGCATGGCTGTTTTGCTAGGAACCCACATGCCCACCTGTGATTCTGCCACCTGGGAAGACGAGGAGCCTAGAGACCGAGGGTCACGCTAATCTCTTCTGCGAGAGGACGGTGCTGGGCTGGCCACGGGCAAGGCTGAGATGTTATAACCCAATCGGGTTCTCTCTCCCGGAGCCCAAGGGTGGGGCAGTCCCCCCTAGACTCTTGGACCACATGTGGGAGAGCCCCTCCAGGAAGACAGAAGGGAGGCGTGGAGCACACCCAGGAGCCATCGCCACAAAAGAGACGGTAGAGCCCGAGAATTAGAAGAGAAGGACCTGTGGGGGGATAATGGTGGCCGGACTGTGAGGAGGAGGTAACCAGAAATACAAGGAAACGCTGGAGGAAATGCTAGTTTGGAAGTTGAGAGCAATTTCAAGAAGAGATTACATCAGACAAGGCCAGAACAATGGCCTTGGGCCCGTTGAGTGGGCCGAGTGGAGAGTGTGGAGAGGAGGCTTGCTGTGGAGGGCAGATTACAATAGGACAAGGTGCGGGGGCTCCCTGGTGGCATAGGGGGTGAGTCTCAGCGCTATCACACTACTGGGGCTGCGGCTTGAGTGGCCTGGGTTCCATACTGGCCAGGGAGCTCACCCACATGGCGCAGGGGTTAAAGTCTCAGCACTTATTAAGCAATCACCAGCCACTGCAGCACGAGTTCGATCCCTGGCCAGGCAGCTACCCACACGGCACAGCAGACCTCTCCTGTCTCCCTGCTGCTCGCCTCAGCAGTGCTTTCAGTCGTCTGCCCGTTCTGCCCCCTCCTCTGTCTCTGGTGAATCCTCTCACCCCTGACACCTCTGGCCTGCACCCCAGCTCTTTTATGCATAAATAAATAAACCTTTTTAAAAAATCTCATGATGGCTGCTTTTCTGTCTAGAAAGTTGGCAGAGGAGACCCAGACTAGGGGTGGTGGGTGGTATCTTGGGGTCAGAGAAGAAGTTTTTGGTTTATTTTTCATGATGGTGTGGTGCGTTAGGTGATGTTGGTGCATTTAGATGATGTTGGTGTGTTTTCAGTCACCGGGAAATGGTGAAGGGAAAGAAAGAGTGGGCTGATGGGAGGGACGATGACCCCAGCCTGCAGGAGTTTCAGGGCCCCGCTCCCTCTGTCCTGGGCAAGACAGCTGGGTGCATGGTGGTGAACAAACACAGGGTGTGGAAGGGGGGGCAGACCCCCTGCTGAGCACGTGCCGTTCATGTCTTATCTGACGTTCACATGACACTGGGGGCGGGAGACACTGTCTCACTTGGCAGGCGAGGAAGTTGAGGCTGAAACCCTGGTTCGTTGGTAAATGTCAGGCAGTTGACTCTCTGAGTTGATGTGAAGGATAAGTGGCGCAATTTACAAATAATAATACAAATATTGGGCTGTCGGAAAAGTCATGATGCATTTTTTTCTATGTTTTTCATAGCAAAAAATGCGTCATGGTTTTTCCGACAACCCACTGTTATGTAGATGGCAGACTCCCTGTCACCTATGGGGTCTCAAAAGAATGACTCCTTGGTTTTGCCGGGCTCTTGTGTCTGTAGCCAGCCTTTGGTGGCAACTGAGAAAAAGAATAGAACTCCAGTACGAATGTTGGTTGATATCTTGTTGGAGTCTGGAAGCGAAAGTGAAGACATATGTCAGAAGTTTGCTCACTTCTCAATGACGTGAGCAAATTCTTTGCTGAATTTGATAACAGTTTTTAAATATTGGAACAACATTCCCTCATTTTTTGTGGAGCAATGCATAGGGTGAAAGCTATAAACATTACACATTTTAAGATTTAATTTGCATTTTTAAAAAGATGTATTTATTTATGCATATTAGAACTGGGGTGTAGGCCAGAGGTGTGGGGGGTGAGAGGATTCACCAGAGTCAGAGTGGGGAACAGAACAGGCAGATTGACTGAAATACACTGCTGAGGGGAGCAGTGGGTGAAACAGGAGAGGCCGCTGAGCCATGTGGTGTAACACTCCCACCAGAGTCACATTCAAGCTGTTTTTTAGACAATGAGTGGAAATATGGTGAATCATAAAGACATTTATAAGTAGAAAGTTATCAAATCTGCCCAGCCCACACTCTGCCCCTCACAGAGCTAAGTGCTGTGGCATTAAGGGATCCATTTCTCAATATTGTACCATGTTACAAAAAATCTATTAAACCGACTGACAATGATTGTATCACATTCATTCTCTGAAGCTATGATTCTCCTAACAAAACCAAATGAAAACAATGCATCCTAAAAAAAATCAATTTCATGAATATAACAGTAAGGATCTGAGAACATTAAGAAATGGAATGGAATAATGACATTTGAAATTAATATTAAGGTTGTAAGGGTAATATTTTTTAAGATTTATTTATGCATACAAGAACTGGGGTACAGGCCAGAGGTGTGGGGGGTGAGAGGACCCACCAGAGACAGAGTGGGGAACAGAACAGGTGGCTTGACTAAATGCTGTGTTTAACCCCTTGTGTTTGACCCCTTGTGCCACGAGGGATGCCCAGAAAATAAGATTTTAAAAAAATGGCACCATATCCTATTCACTACACCAACAAAAACATCAGATTTGGAAGCAAATTTGGATAGATTGAGAGAAAGCTGAATATTTTAGTGGGCCACATAAAAGCAGTGTTGAATCTAGGGAAGATGCATATGGCCGCAGGTAGAGGGATGCAACCACACTCATCCTAGCAGGGAGCTCATTTGTCTCCCCCACCCCCCAGAACTAAACAATATTATCATGAAAGTAAGGGCAGAACTACAGTGGGTAACAGGGGGATGTTAAACAGTCCTGATACGGGAATGAAGACAGGAGCAGGCAGGGGCGGGGACAAAGCATCCTTGCTGTTCTGAAGCAAACTTCAGGAGAAGCAGATGACTGGAGGAGTGTTTGTTGGGGGGCCCTCTCCCCAGCAGGACCAGGGCCCATGTCGTATGGCTGGACACATCCGAGAGTTTGATTTGATGCACTTCTCCATGTCCACGCTGCTCTCCCCTCCCTCACACGCTGGGTCTGTTTTGTCCTTTTCTCTGCAGGTCCGAGCTTTGGCCTCTGCCAGTAAGTTTGAAGCCGAGTTAAAAGCTGAGCAAGAAGAGCGGAAACAAGAGGAGGAGAAGAGGAGGGTCCGCCAGGCCGCCTTCCGGGAACTGAAGGCCACGTTCAGTGCATAGGCAGATGCCCTTGACCTCTGTCCACAGCTGTGCCTCACAGATGCTCTCCCTGCCCCCTGGGAAACTGGTTGGGCATCCTCACCACACTGGCCCCCGCCCCAGCCAGCCTCCACACCTCTGCCCAGTGCAAAGTCCTCAACCTCGTGGTGGTAACTCTCTTCCCAGGGTCCAGCTGCCTGCTGGCTCCTGCCGCCTCCCTCCGCCCTTCTCTGTAGCCAGAAAGTGCCTTTACTTGGCCTTTGCTTTTTTTATGTCCCTCTACCACTCTACCTCGAAGAGTGGTCGGCGGTGTTAATTTGTACAGATCCTCCTCTGGCCGTCTTTGGAGCAGGCCTAGTCCTGGAGGACTAGGATTCATGGTGCCTGTTTCCTTGGGTAACTCGTGTCTGGACTGCTCCCTCCTGTCTGCCTTCCATCAAACCACCTGTTCTCACTGGACCTGACTCTCCCACGTGCCTTTTGTTTGCTCTTCTTCCCTTTGACCTTGGGGAGGCTTGATGGGAGCCAGGTTGGGCCCCAACCTGTCTCCTCTCCAGCAGGGCCCATGGCACGCTGCCCAGATGACATGATAGAGAAAAGACTGGAAGTTTCAACCTGCCCATCGCCTTTCTCCTGTCCTCTTCACCCCCTCCATACGTGTTTCCCAGTCCAGCCTCTTCTCGACTCCAAAACACTGTACTACTTAACTGTAAGAGTGAAAGAATAATTAGAAGTCCTAATAAGCGTCGAAGCATTCCTGTTAACGCTGACTCTATGCAAATCATACGGCAGTAGACCCTGGACGTTCCCACGTGACATATCCAGAACCTTTCAAAATCCCAAAAGTCACGACCAGCTTCATCATCTAGTCACGTCCCAGCAACTGCTCCACAGTGGAAGTGAAGATGTTCTTACCACCAGCACCAGCTTTCACGGGCTGCTCGTTCTTGGGATTGCTCACAAATACCAGGGGTTTGTTGTATTTTTAAAAATAATTTCCTAACGTCCTATTTATTACTTCTCTTTTGTAACTGCTGTCTTTACCATGAAGAAAACATGGGTGTTTCTACCTTACAGCTGTTTCTTTTTAAATAAAGCTGTGCAGATGAACTTTGCCTTCACCTCAGTGTGCTTCCAGTCTTCTTCGAATTGGGAGAGGAGAGTGTTTTCTTGGGGGCCAAGTCTAGTCCGGGTTCTGTTTGACACTGAGTCGCTGAAGTACAGTTAGAAGAGGTAACTACAGGGTTGGTTCTCATTCCAGGGCATTCTGAGTACTGAACTCGTCTGTCCCTGTCTGTCACTGAGGATTCTGTCAGTTGCAGGTAAGATCTGTTTAAGTTCTCTGGCTTACTAGGCCCCTTGAGATGGGTGAAGGCTGACGAGCGCTCCTTCCCATGTGTAATGCCAGAGTGTTTGGGGGAACCAGGCTAAGGACCCCTGTCCTTAGAGAACACCCTTAGCTCCCTACAGAGGGTTATTCTGTTTCTGCATAAGCCAAGAGCTGCTCTCTCTGGTCATTACTTTTCCCCAGGTAGGGTCACCCTCCAACTTCCCCATCAGAGGAAGTGGACATGAAAAAGGAGTGGGGAGCCCCTGATCGTGCCAGCTGGCAATCTTGCTTCCTGGGATTTACCCAAATGAGTGGAAAATTTTATTTCACAAAATAGCTGCACGTGAATGTTAAAAGCATCGTTACTAATGGCCAAAACCTGGAAGTGGTCAAGCTGTTCTTCCATAGGTGATGGGAGAAGCACACTGGCACAGCCAGACAACGGACATGATTCATTCAATGAGGAAAGATTATTCAGCAATGAAAGAAAATGAGCTCTCAGCTCACAAAAGATTTGGAGGAGACGGAAGTGCACACGGTGGAGTGGAAGAAGCCAGTCTGAGAGGATGCCATCTCTGCGACATTCTGGAAAAGACAAGTCTGAAGACAGAAGATCAGTGGCTGTCAGGGACTCAAAGAGGGAAGGACAGGTGGAGGACAGGGAATTTTAGGGCAGGTGACATTTATTCTGTGTGATACTACAATGGTTGATACAAGTCATTGTAGTAAAATGTAGCAGCATGTGTAAACCACAAGTGGACCCTAAAGGAAACTATGGGCTTCAGTTAATAATAATGCTTCGGCAGACCTCCCTGGTGGTGCAAGGAGTTAAGACGCAACCTATGAAGCTATCTGCAGCCACTGCAGCACGAGTTCCATCCCTGGCCAGGGAGCTACCCACGTGGTGCAGCAGACCTCTCCTGTCTCCCCACTGCTCCCCTCAGCAGTGGATTTTGGTCAATCTGCCTGTTCTGCTCCCCACTCTGTCTCTGGTGAGACCTCTCACCCCATTGCACCTCTGGTCTAGACACCAGCTCTTGTATGCATAAATAAGTAAAATAAATCTTTAATTATAATAATAATAATAATAATAATAATGTATCAATGCAGGCACGAATGTATTAATACCTCACTACATCGGAGGAAAGGGACTCGGAATCTTCTGCTAAGTTTTTCTGCAAACCTGAAACTACTCTAAAAGTCTGACAATTAAAAAAAGAAAAGAAAGAATTGGACATAGCAGTGTAATAACTCAAAACATCCTTTTGCCTCTTTGGACAACTGGCCAATATAAGTGCTAAAGTCTTTGAACTGTAAATGACAGACAATGTAACAAGAAGGGCCAAATACTGGAACACCCAGCTACAACCTGTCCCGGCTGGGAAACCCAGTCCAACAGCGGGGTCTGCTGTGCCTCTCACCAGTGTCTCTGTGGCCTTGACCTTCGCTGGCACACTCCCACGTCTCTACAGCAGCTTCTTTGCCCTCATTTTGCCCTGATTGTCCACCTGAAGCGAGAATAAGCTTCATAAAATGCAGGTTGTTCCTGACATCTGCCCTTCAATTGTTGCGTCCCTACTTTTAGGATCTGGCTCCAGCTGACCTACCCTGCTCCTCTGGATCTCCCTCCCCCCCTCTTCCTGAACTGTATACTCCAGGTAAATGCATGCCATATTCTAGCATTTTCTAGAACGTGCCACTCCTCCCGACTTTGGCACATGCTGTTTCCTCGCCCTGGCCCTCCTTCCCTCCCTTCCCCTGGCAAACTGCTCCTCGTTGTTTATGACTCCGCCTAAAGATTATCTTCAGGAAGCCTCCTTGAAGCTCCCAGGGGAGGTGAAGTGTCCCTACTCGATTGCACCCTGAGTTGTTCCCTGTTGCAGTCCTCACGGCATTATGCAGTATCCTTCCTCCTTGGCCTCTCCCTTTGGACTATGAACGCTGCCTGGCCCACAGCTATAGGGAGCAGACATCCAGCATGTGACAGGCACCCACGCCTCTGTGTTTCACAAGGACATACCAGGTTTGTTTGTTGAAGTGAACAAAAATGGAAAAGGGAAGACCACTAGCCCAAATTCAGGGAACTTTCACATCCCCTGACATGGGAGCCTGGCCTGAGGGGACTGCCCTAAAAGTACGGCTGGCAAAGACTGGGGACAGCTTTCTCCCTGGAAAAGTAAAGACCCTCTCTTGAGCAAGAGGGAAAACCCACCAACTAAATAAGCAACAAACCAGTCAGTTCTGCCTTTGCCCTGGAAGCTAAGGATTTGCAGTGAGACTATAGCAGCATGTAGCAGCCTCACTGGACCTGTTTCCTCACTAGCAAAATGGGGTGAGGATGATGACGGTGATGATCTACCTGGCAGATTCTGTGCCCTGCATTTAGGAGACCGTTAAGACTGTTAAAAATTGTATCAGTGTTATTTACTGTAGCTTAAAAAAAACCTCATCCCATCACTTGGGCTTCAAACAATCATTAACATCTACTCTTCCACACAGTTTCTGGGGGCCGGGAATTCACCAGTGGCGAAGGGCATAGTTGTGGCTCAGGGGTCTCATGAGACAACGGTCACTCGGGGCTGCAGTCATCTGAAGACAGGGCTGGACGACCCACTTCCACGGTGAATCCCTCATGAAGTTCTCAAGTGGCTTCTGGCTGCTGGAGGCCTCAGTCACTCAACAGGGAACCCTCCATGGGGCAGCTTGAGTGTCCTCACAACATGGCAGCTGGGTTCCCACAAAGCAAGTGGTACATGAAGAGCAGATGTAAACCACATTATTTTTTCAAATGCCTAGCTTCGAAATCACACTCCGTCAGCTCCTCCTACTTGGCAAGAATGGCTGGGCGTCATCCGGAGGCTGCGGCTACTGAGTCAGCCGAGGGGCTCAGTTATCAGAGACAGAATCTAAGCCAGCTAGATTGAAGCAGAATTGATTGAAAAGACCACCGAGGTGGGCACAGGACTGTGTGTGTGGGGGGCGGGGGGCGGAGGGGAACAGGTTAAGAGAACAGGCAGGGAGCCAGGCAACAGGGACGGTAGCCAAAAGCATGCCTTGAGAAGCAGCTGGCATGGTGCTGTGGCCCAGGCTGACCAGAGGTTTGGGGGAGACTTCATCTTCAGGTCCTTAGTCCAGAGACTGAGGCTGAGCCCAGTCATGTGCCCACATGGTGGTCGGAAGGGTTAGTGTTCAGGATGTTGTCTTTTGCCAAGGGAGGTGGGCTCTGCCGCCGTCAAGATTCTTTTTCTCAGGAACTATCCTGCACTGCTGGTGGGAGTGCAAACTGGCCCAACCACTGTGGAGAGCTGTGTGGAGATTTCTTGACCTACTAAACATAGAGCTTCCACAGGATCCAGCAATTCCACTCCTAGGTATTTACCCAAAGGACACAGAAACAGTAATTCCAAAGGGCACCCGCACGCCTATGTTTATAGCAGCACTGTTTACAATAGCTAAGCTTTGGAAACAACCCAAATGCCCAAAAATAGATGACTGGATCAAGAAGATGAGGTACATATACACCATGGAATATTACTCAGCATTCAAAAAAGATAAACACAGGCAGTTTGCAGCAACATGGATGGCGCTGGAAGGGATCATGCTCAGTGAAATAAGCCAGAAAGAAAAAGAAAAATACCGGATGTTCTCACTCATAGCAGGAATCTAGAAAACCTAAATAAGGGACCAGGAAAAAGACTAATTAATACAAAGTAAAAATCAAAATCAACAAGCAACTATAAACCAGAGACACACTGGGGCGGGGGAGGGGCGGGGAAAGGAAGGACTAGAGTCAAAATAAGGGGGGGGTGCAATTGTAGGGGGAATGTAACCAAAATGAAAATGCATACATTGTGCAAAGGTGAAAAAAGATGTAAGAATTATAGAAAATAAAATATTTAAATTAAAAAAAAATATTCTTTTCTCCCCAAACATGGAAAAAGTATTTCCTAAGCAGAATGGTGGAAGCATGACGCTGCGGAGATGTTCATGAGATGGACCTGGGGATGGTTGGTTTTGTGTGAAATATATAAAGCCATGTATCTGGGGCCTCCCTGGTGGCCACGGGGTTAAGTCTCAGCGCTATCACCGCTGTGCGATCCCTGGCCAGGGAGCTGACCCACATGGCACAGCAGATCTCTTCTGCCTCCTGCTGCTCCCCTGAGCAGTGGATTTCGGTGGATCTGCCTGTTCTGTTTCCCACTCTGGCTCTGGTGAATCCTCTCACCCCCCACCTGTGGCCTAGGCATAAATAAATAAATCTTTAAAAACAAAATAAGGCCACATCTCTGGCCATGGAGACGACATTGCCTGAGGTCAGCGACCACATGGGGTGCAACATCCTCATGCTCGGTGGTGCTGAGAATGAAGCAGCATAGACCTGTTGATGGAGAGACCATCTCACCCCCGCCCCACTGGCCCATACCCAGCTCTTGTATGCATAAATAAATAAAACAAATCTTTAAAAAAAAAAAAAAGAATGGCAGCTTCAGGGCACTTCCCTCTGGCAGCTCTTGCTTCAAAAGAACTGAACAAACAAGTGGAATCTCTGCTATCTCCACCATCTAGCACTGGGCTCCACCTGGTTTCTATCACATTCTACAGGTTGTGAAGGCCCGCAAGGTGCTACAGGAGTGTTGGATGGAAGCTATTTTCGCCATCTTTACAAAACTACGGTGTGATCAACCTGTGTTCATTCCTAATCAAACTCATTTGGGGCCACACTCCTTGCTCCCCTTTCCACTCAGTGATCTATTATTCTCATTTTCTGCGTCTAGCAAATA